TAAGCCTGTGAAGTGCATAAGGAAAGAATATAACTGTAACATGGTACACTAGGTCACAATATGAAAATTCCTTATTCCACTACCTCTCCACTTGCTTGAATTATGGAAGAGAAAATGACGTAGCAGTACTATTCATAACGACTCATTTTCAAATATCCAACGACTCTATTTTGCTTGGCTATATAAGAAAAGAATCGTATGTTTAAAATGTTGTTGGTGTTCAATGTTAAATGAAAGCTGTCATTATTGGATCAAAACCAAAAAGCTATCAACCACTATAATAACAACAAGAACAACTGTTATCAAAATAATTCTTCAATCATGTTGATAATGATTACAATGAAATTATTGATTCACAATGTGCTTAATTGCATATGCTGCACAAAGCTTGCTAAGCCACAAAAGATAATGAAGATGATTATGAAAGCTCCAGTTATAAATCCACAACATGAATGTTGTGCTCTAAAGTGATCATTGAAGAAAATAGAACAAGGGTTGATGTACATAATTTTCTAAGGTGAATCAAGATGAAGAAGTTCTTCTCTTTACTACATTGAGATCAACAAAGCTTTCAGAAGCTTATGAAGAAGAAGACTTTAGCGACAAGTGCTTTGGATTGTTGTCCGTGAAGAAGTTACTTGAAGAAAAGAAGACCACACATTAAAGCTACAATACAATGTAATGTTTTTTAGTGTGTATTAGGTTCTTCTGATGTACTTAATTATGTTTACATCCAGCTTGTGTAGAAGCATTATTATTGTAAACAAATGTAAATCAACCAGTTGTTTGATGATACCTTTAGAGGCTGAGTGAAGGTTTGTGCTCAAGAAGATAGTGACTGAAGGTCATTATGAAATCCTGATAGTGGATTCTATTGGATCAATGGTAGTCATATTTCAAAGGGGACCGAGTGAAGGCCAGCCTTGTGTGATCCTTGATGGATATCATTGGAAGGAAATCCTAGTAGGAGATTCTGAGGGATCGAATTCTATTGGGTCAATGAACATTATATCCAGTTTGGATCCCTGAACGCGTCATTGGATGTTAGTCACTTGCGGATAGCTTGTGCATGATTTTCCTTAAGGGACCGGGTAGGTCTGTATCCTTAAGAAGTCTAGGACTTGTGTGTCTTTGAGGTTGTTAGTCACTTGCGGGTAGCTTGTGCAAATTGTAATCGGATTGGTTATAGTGGATTAAGTCCTTGAGTTCAAGGCGAAATCACCTTGGAAGGGTGAATTGGACTAGTTTGAGGGTTTCTCAAGTGAACCACGATATATCACGTGTTCTTTACTTAGAAGTTTATGTTTTCTTAACTTAATTAGAAGTATTACTTAGAAGTAACACTCAGAAGCATTGTTCAACGAACAATGCTTAGAAGCGAAAGTTTGTCAAGAAAGGAAAACCCAACTCAACCCCCCTTCTTGCGTTTTCTTCACACCTTTAGGGTGAACGATGGTGTTTTGGTTGAAATCATGTATTGTTTCAAAGTATAGAACTTTAGGGTTTAGGTTTGAAATCGTGTATTGTTTCGTCTAGTTTCTTTTTTCAATGGAAAAAAGGATACTGAAGAGACAAGTTAGCTAGGAGTATAATATCATAAAGATACCATCACGATCCATACCAGCAACCGTTATGATATATTACTTTCATAGTGAAATTTCATAAAGAAGCGTCAGAGTCATAAAAAAACAAAATATATCACAACAGTGGAACATACCAACCGTAGTAATAACCCTTTAAATTTTTTATTTAAAAATAAATAAAAAAGAAAAGACACGCCTTAACATTAAAGGAATAATATATATGAGGGCGCTGAAGTTCGAACCCATGAAAACTTGATGGTATCACCACGGTTGATCCTCAACCATTACTATATATAAATAGTATGAAAGAACCATGGTGACTATGACATTGTTGTTTACGCGTTTTGTAGTAGTGTCGATATAAATGACACACATTTATACAATATTTACTTTTTATATAAATTTTAATTAATTATATATAGTATCGTATAAATAAATATATTTTATATATTAATAAATGACACGTTTTTTCTATTTTTAGATTAGTAGTTTATTTTTTATTATATTTCTTTTTGTGCTTCCATTAAATACTTAAAAAAATAATTTTTTAAATATTATTAATTTTATAATATAAATATTATAAATTAAATATTTTCTTATTTAAACAATAATAAAATATAAATTATAATCATAAAAATAAGATAATTATGAAAATATGATGTGAAAATGATAAAGTTGAACATATATAATAATTCAACATTTAAATGTCTAATTAGAATTCAATCAAATTTGATTAAATATTATATATATATATATATATATATATATATATATATATATATATATATATATATATATATATATATATATATATATATATATATATATATATATATATATATATATATATATATATATATATATATATATATATATTCCACTTACAAAATTTAAAAATTATAGATCGATAATAATAATAAAGTGATATTAGATACATATTTGATATTTCAATACGACTTGAGCCATGTGTTTCTTCTTCATTCTACCGTCTCTTTCTTTTAGAATATTTTTCTTCTATTAGAATATCAGACATGCCTGCGTGTCATTAAGCTCTCTTAAATTTTCTCTTATCTTTTTTCTCTTATTTTTTTTATTAGATAAGCAAAACTTCTCATCAATTTTTTCCCTTTAATCAAAATCAACCCATATCTTTTTCCATAAAATCAAGAACCCCGTACACATTCAAGGATTTGTTCATTACATTCCTAAAAAAATTAGACCATTTCTTTCGTCCAAAAAATAAATCTCTTTAAAATTATCATCTTCGGAATATGCTTTCTTCACAAACTCCTAAATTATCCTTCAACCTACGAACAAAGTCACATTCTATCCACATCTCACTTTCAACTGAACCTACTTCTAAATATTTATTTTGCACTCAAGAACAACTCTTCAACGAATCCATAAAACTCTTCTTTTTCTGCAACCTTCATCTTTTTCATCCAGAAAATCTCAAAATTTACTTTTTCTCAACTTTGTCTCATTCCTACTTCCATCTCCATCTTCCAAATCATTTCTCAAATCAATCTCACATTCTTTTATTTATTTTTTATATAATATTTCTCTATAATAATATAATTTATGTTTTGTTTCAAAGAAAAAATGAAGTTTATAAATCATAATTGAAAAAAAAAGATAAAGTTGGTGAAGCACACCGGAAAATCAATGTAGAGTAATAGTTTAATTAATTTTATTAAAATTGGCATTAGACTTTTGTTGTACTTGTCTATTTAAGTTAGTTTGTCATAATCTAGTTTCATTCAAATTTCTGTAATTGAGTAATAAGTAATAGTTTAGTTAATTTTATTAAAGTTAGCATTAAAATGGAACCAGATGTGAATTCCCAAATCATTAATTTTTTTATATTATATATATATATTAAGAAAAGTAAGTAATTTTGTATGAGAAAGAAAAATTAAGTATTTACACTATTGTCTTTTATTTATTATATATGAAAGAAAATTTTAAATAATTAGAAGAAGAAATAATAAATGATAGGTGATATATTACGAAAAATATTTTAATCCAAATTGTCTTATAATTTGGAAAGAAGAGACTAAATAATTAAAATAAAAGTCAAATTTCTTCGAACATCTAAATCTAATATTTATAATTAGTTGACTGAATAAAATATTTTTATAGTGTATTTCAATTAAAAATTAATTTTTTTTATAATGACTTCAAAAAAATGTTGCAATAATAGAATAATAATCAATAGTATGTATTTTAGTCTAAACTAAAAACATGTAAGTTAAACCAAAAATATTTTAACATGAAAATCATTAGCCGGAAGGACCAATTTAAAAGTACATATGCCTCTCCAAAAATGAATGGCAAACTAACAATTCACAAAATTACAAAATATTTTTCAAAACTTTAAAATATTTTGATTAAATTCAATAAAATTATATATTGTATAATTAAAAGGAAGACCATTCCACAAATAAATTATATCTATGATTCTGATAATCTTGAAGATACAAATTGATAGAAAAATAGTGTCAAAAATGGAATGCACTGTTATAATATAATTTGATTTTACAATCTTTGTAAGAGTTTTGATGATAACAAACACTGAATTCCGTGTTTCTGATCCACAAAGTTCTGAAAAGAAGCAAGAGTAATTTTCATCTTCCGAAACAAACATGTTCTGAAACGTTACAAATCAATTATTACCATTTCAAAAATAACGACTGAAAGAGAACAAAGATCTCTATTTTTGAAAAGCTCTTTAATTATCATTGATCAACATTCCAAAAGCTACTACATGCTTCGCCTATTTAAACAAAGTTTGAAGGAGAAATGGTTTACGATTTTCACGCACAGTAACGAAGCAATCTTCATCATCTTCAAACATCCAAAATCTAAATTGTGTAAAACATCACTTGTGATACTGTTTTATTAAAAAACATTTTTGTACACGATTTAAACTCAAGAAGACTTTGACGGTTGTCATAGTAGCTATGTAATCATGTTTGATCAGTGGATTAAGACCTCGTTGAGAGAGGCGAAATCACTTTGACGGATAGACTAAAATAATTTGAGGTCAAACAAATCAGAATAACCAACATGTCTTTTATTTAAATTTTAAAAATCCCAATTCAAATCCCCTTCTTGTGTTTTTCCATTATTCAAGCACAAAACTTTTCCTCATATGAAAGTACAATACTCATTATATATAACTCCAACAATAACATTTCCACCAAAAACTAAAGAAAAGAATGTATAATTAACCAGAAAGTTTATATAGTGAAATTTAACTAGCCAAAACAAGTATTGTTGTTGAACCATCGATGGTACGATGAACATTCCAGTATTAGCAAGCCATACCCGTATTATAGACACGCAAGGGCATGTGGCGATGTCACTTTCCAAACCTCTTTTTACCCTAATTAACTCTATTATTCACAACTTATATTATGCAGGTAGTTCTATTAGATCCTCCGTTTCATCATCACTAGAAATCCAACCATGGCAAGGTCTACGCCTCTTGTGACAAAGCTTTCCATTAGGCTGTGAGGACTTTGTCGGAGGAGGTTCTGCAAGAGGGATGATATTAGTATACAAGAGCTCAAGTTATATGCTTCAAAACTAAATAAAATGAATTAACAAGGACGAGAAGTTGATTACCATTTCTTTTGTCTGCTGATACAGTGTCTATAATAGACTTGATGGACACTTGGTTGTTGATTTCATTGTTTGCTGATACAGTGCCTACGGGCTTGATGGGAGGTTTGATAACAGCTTTTCCTGTAGCTGTTGCAGTGTCCGCGGCCATAATGGAAAGTTGATTATTAGGTCTACTGGGGGCTGCTGAAGTGTCACCAGTGATGGGAAGTCCAATAACAGCTTTGCTTGTAGCTGTTGTGGTATCTACAGATATAGGAAGATAATTACCAGTTTCACTGACTGCTGATGTAGTACCAACAGCCTGATTAGCTATTGGTGCATCATTGGAAGCTTCCGTGTTAGTGCAAGGTAGGAGAAGGGTTCTGTTAGAGCAACCAGAAGTCGATGCCTCATTGGGACGATTTTCTGGATTATCCTCTATCAAACAATCCTTCACAAAAATAATACAAGAGCACAGAACAGGAAATAAGTAATCAAAATTCTGTAAGATATATATGTCATTCGGGTAAGGAGCTAGAAGTCAATTTTCATGAGGCACACTTTTCAATAGATTAAAAAGAAGAAACCATGAAAGACCTCATAATATAGAGCTACACTACACATTAAAGCAAAAGGGCTTTGCAAGAATGTATTGACTCTGAGTAATATGCTTTTGGAGACACAACACCATATTGTTGCTCATGACTAACATAAATTGAAACAAATGTATTGAATTTGGGAAAAACGTGTTTCATAACCAGACCCGAAAGCTTAAAACAAAGTAGGACATAGAAACCACCAGCTCATTGCATGACATAACACAAACAAAATAAGGATTTTGTGATACAACATGATTCATAACTACCTAACCAAAAAAGACACGTTTCACAACTAGAACTGAGCGGATGCAGGCAGGACAATTTACCCGAAGATACAATTCAAAGTGTGACTACATAGAAAAAAGGGTTGCAAATTAGAAAATTGTGATCATAATTGCTAAATAACCAACCAGGGTTATCAATCCCAGATAGCGGAACGGAGCGTCCGACCCCAAAAATGGGATAGAGTGATAGCAGGATAACCGCTATTTGACTATTTTTTTAGACTAATAATCTAAAAAACGTATATTTAATGTAAAACCAAACAAAGAAGAGGAATATAGTTATTAAATGACTATTACTTAAAAACACAGAGGTAATGAAAAATAGATGTAAGATCAAACCAGATCATTTAATTTAAGGGTAAATCTGGATTTTTGCGTTCAAAACAATTCAAACCCGCTTGGGCCAGGAAGCACCCCACTCCCATTACCCGCTAAACATCAAATAGCGGCTGCTAAGCATCAAATAGTGGAGGGTCGCCGCTCCAGGCCTCTATCCGGGGATAGCGCCGCTAAGCTAAGCATCAAATGGTGGAGGGTCACCGCTCCAGGCCGCTATCCCGGGATAGCACTTCTATCGATAACTCTGTAACCAACAACAAGCTAAAAATAATGATTACTGTACACCACCATCAGACATACGTCAAGTGTTGCAGATAAATTTATAAATTCTGAGTTACAAGACATCTAAATAAAGCATAAACAAAAGAGAATGCAATAAAGCAAAACAACAAATGAAATAACTATTAGATCATCACTTATTTGAAGATAATCACCACACCTCTATACATGAAATATGAATCCCCATTCTCAACTCTCTATGATTCGATCACACACCTTATAAAACCACATATATCTTTCTCATACTATATATGAACTATATCACAAATCATGAGCCTTAAAATCAAATAAAACCAATATTAACTTTTGTTCTTAATTAATCACTCTATTGGAAGGAAATTTTTACTTTTCTTAATTTCATTAACTAGTACTTATATTTCTTCTGTCAATATTATCAAACTGTGTCTCCGACGTATAATCAGAAGGAGGCCTAGAATTCAAACTTCCACTACTAACATAACATACTAACAACAAACATTTAAAAAAACGCTAATGCTTAAAATTTACTCCCACAGATTATACTAGTTATTGAGATTTAAAGCGAGTTACCTTATCTTGTTCTTGTTGATGTTCAAGTAGGGTATTGATGAGAAGAGTGTAAGCTGAATCTTCAATGAAGACCCAACCATCGTTACCGCCATAAACCTAAACAGAAATAAACCACTAAACAATGAAAATGCAGTGAAATTAAGCACTAATTAGTGAGAATGCGGTGAAATTAGAAGTTAAAAACCATGATTAAGTGGAAAAATGAAATGAGAATTTACTTGAAGTAGTTGATCAACGGTTCTCCGAACGAGCTTGCTAGGGAAACCGAAAGGAGCCATGGCGTCAAGAGCTGCATCCATTCGGCTCTCTCCTTTCTGAGAAACAATCACAATCAAAATCACAGTTCAATTGACGAGAATGAAGAAAATAAAAATGGAGGAATGAACGAAGAATGAAGGTGAATGTGGAAACGACCTTTACGGTACGTCGTCTTGGCGCCATTGGAAGGAAGAGGAGATATCGCAATGGTGAGATTAGGGTAGATTGGGTTTCATTTGCATTTTGCATGTGCTTTTCAACACAAAATTCAATCGTTTAGAGTTGCTTTGATTTCAGGTACACGAAACTGAATTCACTGTGGTTAACATCATCACGCACTCACACATTTAGAATAACACTGTCCCTTCGATCGTGAAATGACGGTTCAGAAAAAACATTTTTTATTTTTTATTTTATAATATCAAATTTTAATTTTAATTTGAACCGTACTGCCCAGTAATGCGCGGCATCACGACGGCACGGAATCATCATCCCACTAGAGTTGCGGTACGTTGCCAAGTGGAGTACATATTTGAAACTTTACTAAATTAAGAATAGTAATAATAAATAAAATGAAGGGATTTTTTTTTATTAAATTAAGGAAATACATAAACAAAATAACATATAATAATAATGATTTTGATTAAAAATTTTATTGATTATTGGCGTATTTTCATGCTCATAAATATAAAATGAAAACTAATCATTTAAAATTTTTAATTATATAATTTCATTTAAAGAAAGTAATTAAAGAGTTGTAAAATAAAAATGACTTTTTTTTATAAAAAAAATATATTTTTGTGTGGTAAATAACAATTTTGATTTTTAAATAATATATGAAAATTGTAAACACATTGAAAATTTGATCATTTAATATCTATTCAAATCAACATCAGAATTGTAAATTTGATTGATCTTTTTAATCATTTCTTGATTCTCTTCTCCACGATTTGAGTGACCCTCTGTCCTAGGTGAGTGTATATTATTTTCTTCTATATTGTGTCTTTTGCAATGGATGTGTTTCGGTTTGTGTTTTTATCTTATTTATGCCTTCTTGAGCTCTTGTCTCGCATTTTTCTGTTTCTCTCTCTTTACTCTTGGTTGGATCCTATCGTCGTTGTTTCCTGCTCCTTTTTTCAACCATGGAAGGTCAATCTTTGAAGTCAGAAGCTATGATGTACATTCTAAGTCCTGTCGAACACATCAGAGCTAGTTATGACCATAAACGCACCTGCAATAACAACAACAGGGCTGCCTCAAGGGTAAGGTGGGCTAGGCCCTCGCCTTGGGCGTCAAAAAATACTTTTTTCTTAAAGGTGATTTAGGCCTCAAAATTTTAAAATTAAGTATATTTTTAGGAAAAGAAAAAATAATTAAATTTTGCTTTTTAGATTCATTGAATAATTAATGTATCTGGTCTATATATAAACCAGATACATTAATTATTCAATGAATCTAAAAAGCAAAATTTACTATTTTTTATTAGAACTAATATCTTTTTTGGATTTTTTTTAAACATTGTTTTATTTTTTAACGAGAAAAAAATATTTCTCTAGAATAATTTGAATATATAAATGATTATTGAATACAAGTTTTTATTTATATAATCATAATACAAATTTAATATTTAATTTTAAATTAAATATATTTTTTAATCCTAAAACATGATATAAACTAAAATTATATTACTCATAATTTTAATTTAAATAAATTATTGATAATATAAATTTTATTATTTAAATAATTTTTAATTTTAATTTTGTAAAATTTATGTTACTCTTGCTTATATAAATGCTTTAAAAAATACAAATAAAAAATTTTAGTTTAACCAACATAGCAGTTGAGAGTTAATAACATCACTCACCGTATAAAGAGAATTTCACATTCAATTTCTCATTTTGAAAGATAATTCAACCTTAATAAAAAATATAAATATTTAACTGCCAAAATTAGCATTAGTTTTATAGTAGATACCAAAAAATTTAGTCCTAAAAAATCTTAAATTTTTTTCTAAAAATCAAATATTTAATTATAGTGTATGGACAAAAAAACCTTGTTTTAATAGTCGCCTTAGGCCTCACATTATGTTGGGCCAACCCTGAACAACAATCAAAACAATGGCGGTCAGGCAAGAAACCTCAAACAGAAAAATACTTCAAAATCAATCAACAAATATACTTAAAACAAATAAAATTTTGGGGAATCTATCAATTCCCTACAACCCTTAATTCACGTTACAAGGATGCAACAGAGCTACAACTTCAAAGCAAGTTACAACATAATCAACTACAATCCCAAAGTTTTTTGTGTATGACGAAGCAAAAATTCAAGAACCGGAGGATATCCATGCAAGATGCCTATTAGGAAAAAGCATTAAAAAAACCTATTCATAAGAGTTATATGCAAACATCCTTGGAAAACATATGGTTCAATCCACGAAACCTTCTTGTTAAAGAATTGGACAATGCAGTGTTCAAAATCACCATGGATAAAGAAGAAGTTACAAGCGAATCTTGAAAGCTAGCCCATGGATATTCAAAAACTCATGGTTTATTATATATGAGTGGAATGGATATATCCCTATGGCAGATTTGGAGTTTCATCAGGCCCCAATTCGAGTTCAAATTTGGGTACTTCCCATCAGTGGCAAAATAACCCAGATGAGTTTAAAATTAGGTGCAGTTTTGGGTGAATCAGTAGAAGCATGAAACTTTGAAATGCTGGTAAGGACATCATCATCAAATTTAAGGCAAAAATTAGGGTGGACAAACCCATCAATGGTGTTACATGGGTGGATTTCAGGTATGAAAAATTCCAAGTGTTATATTTTACGTGTGGGTTAATTGCTTACAATGAAGAACACTGCAAGAATCCTAATGATTCAGGGCCTAGGATAAGTAAAATCAACCTACTAGGGTTATGGCTAAGGACAGGCCAATCATGACCAAAGTAAATAATCAAAGCGACATAAAATTCAGCAGCAATCCCACTAAGAAGCTTAATGTTGGACAATATAGCTCAATGCCTAAAATATAGGTTTGATTAAATTGCAAAATTATCCATGGAAGAAGAACCATTGAATAGGAATGTGGCATTAGCTTTAACATACATGGAAACCAAGGAGAAGATGGAGTAACTATAATAAAAGGGGAATAACCATGGAGCATGAGCACTTAGAAGACAACCCATCAAAATAGAAATGGCAAGCCTCTACGATGAGACTTCCAGAGGCACATGAAGCTACTTTCTTGGAAATGTTGGGGTTGGGAAACCCCCGTACAGTGCAAGCTCTTGTCCAAATGATAAACTCTTACTCTCCACACATTCTCTTTTCATGTGAAACCAAAAAATGTGATAAAGACCATAATTTTCGTATAATTATTAAAGTTGGAACCTTAGCCAACAAGAATATAGGTAGTTGTAGTTCTTTGGGGGTGGTAGAGAAAAGGGTTTATCCTTGTTTTATACTAAAAATGTAACCACTGAGATTTCTGATTCTAATCAAAATTATATTGTTTTTTATGTCCTTTCTAATCCTATTAAGTGGAAGGGTACCGGTATGCTTGATTATTATAAGCATGGTAAAAAAACTCCTTACTTGTAATTTGATTTATAGTCTGTCTCAAAGATCTAACATATCTCAATGACTTGTTTTTGGTGATCTTAATTTAATAACTAGAGCTCGGGAAAAAAGTTAGAGGAAACCCCCCTGGCATAAACATTATATATGATATTAGTAATGAGCTCTATGCATGTTGCTTATAGAATTTAGGTTACAGGGGAAACATGGAAGCATGGAGCAATAGCCAACAGGACCAAAGACACATTATATCCATACTAGATAGATTCTTAGACACAGACAAATGGACTTCTTTGTATCCTAATTACAACAATCAACATTTACCCATATATATATATATATATATATATATATATATATATATATATATATATATATATATATATATATATATATATATATATATATATATAAAATCACAATGGCGTATTACTCATTTTTTATCCCCTTTATGTGCAAGCCCCTACAAAAATCAACAATCTAAGACCTAAAAGATTTGAGAGGGTTTCGCTTGAAAAACCCAGAGATCTATGATGGTGTAAAGGGGAGCTAGCGTCACAATCACATTGAAGTTAAGAATAATCTTAATACCACTCTTACTAAATTGTGGGATTGAGGAAAAAATATCTTATGGAACCTTGTTTTGCAAGTTAATGATAACACTAAAACGCATAGTTCATTTTGACTTGATTTGCATATGTTTTAGTATCATTGTATCACATTTTGTAGTGTTATGTTGGTAGTTTATGAATGTTTTAGGTACTTTACAGGTAGAAGTCGTTACATGAAGAAATTGGACAAAAATGACACAAAACAGAAAAAAAAATACAACGAAAATACACTGGTGGCGACCTCCATGGCACCTGCCACAGAGCTAGCCATGACTAGGCTATCATGGGACCCATAAATGAGCAAGAAGGGAGCAAAAAGACTAGTAAAATACCAATGGCGCCCGCCACCCCTTGCCAGCCAGCCACGATCTTGTATTTGTTGTAAGTTATCTATTTTTAGGGTTGGCTTTAATTTTTGTAAAACAAATATAGCAACAACATGTTAGATAGGATATGTTATCTTGCTATGATGAACAAGTTGAGCAAGAAGTCGTATTTTATGTTGGGATATGTTGAGTTGAAGTGTTTCAACATCTGGAGCAACATGTCGGATAAGATGTCCTATGCAGGGTTATACGACATCCCTCCTAAGCTAAGTTATTTAGCTGGATTTTTATATTCTGTTAAGTTATAAAGACATGATATATTTTAAGGATATTATATTATTCTATGTGGCACTATTTTATAGGTCTGGAAGAATCAAGAAGAATATTGAAGAATATTGACTTTCTAATTATGGAGATAATTTAGGAAGATTTGATTGAAGACCTATTTCGTAGCAGAATTTTCTATAGAGTTGTAATAGCCAAAGAGTTGTGTTTTGAAGCCCAAATCCAGTTGGGAGATAGGTTATAAATAGAAGCATTGTAACCTAGGATAAATTACCATCCGAGAATTAGAAAGATGTACTCATTATGGCTGAGTCTGTAAGCCACTCTCTAGGAGAGTTGGTATATGTGATCCACTCGACATGTGAGATGGATTGTGTTCCT